TTTTACCCTCTTTGAATTTTTTACATAAAATTTAATTTTTTATTTATTTTTCTCCTTTATAGGCATATGTGGATGATCTGTGTAATGCTATATTATAATTCTATTTCTCTATTATTTCAAAATTTTACCATGCAACAAACATATTTTTTAAATAATTTATTCATAAAAGATTTTTATATAATAACCATTAGTCTTTTTATTTTATATAAATATTTTCAAAATTTTCATTTATTCTCAAAATTATGACGTATTTATTTATTTTAGTTCTTGCATTAGTGTAAAAAGAATTAAGGTAATAAGTATTTTAAAATTTTGGCATACTTATTTAAAAATAATTATAAATATCTTCATTTTTATAAAAGTCTAATTAAATAATAATTATGATTAGATTTTTTAAAACAAAATTATTCCGCCATAAAGGAATTGAGTACCACTGTTATCTTAGGACATTGCAAGGCGAATTATGATTATAAATATAGTTAATTAACGCGCAAATAGTTTGACCGATAATTATATATTCACGTATTACTTTCATAATACATATTTATATGATTTTTTTCAAATATCTTTAAAGTATAAAAAATATATATGTGTGGTATTTGAGCTCATACATTTACGAAAAATTCTTCTTTATATTTGCATCTCATTTTAAAACGTTAAAAATATATTTGATTCCAATAAATTCATGCTTTTAATTTGAATAAATTATTAACTTTTTTTCTCATAGTTATAGAATAACAATATATAAGCTTCAAAATTAATAGATTTATATTATTATTATTATTATTAGAACGGGCACTAATCAAGTGAAATTAGACTTTATACACTCTATAATATTCGAAATTAGAAAAATATATTTGTTTTTTTATTTTTATTATATATATTTGTTATTTGATTTATTTGAGGGTTATATCAAAAATTTTATTCAGACTAAAATACCCCTTGCTATACTCATCTCCCACTGCAAAGGTATTAAGATGTCCCACCCTTTCCACTTTGGCTTTCTTCATTGCTTTTGTCGTTGTAAATTTGTCTGAGGTTTTATTTGGGACAGCTTTCTTACTGCTTCTTAAAGCAGTTTTTTAGTACAAAAATTAAAATTTTTGCACTAGAAAGCAGCTATTAGAAGCAAAAAAAATAGTCCCAAATGAAGCCTGAGGTTCTTCTTTTCGAACGGATCTCATTTGTGAATCTGAAAATTTCTTTGAAAATTTTTGCACTAGAAAGCGGCTATTAGAAGCAGAGAAAAATAGTCCCAAACGAAGCCTGAGTTTCTCCTTTTCAAACGGACCTCATTTGTGAATATGAAAATTTCTTTGATTGACAACTTAAGCCTATATGAGTATTATTATTTTGAGTTCCCATCATGCTATAAGATTATAAAAGTATGTTTTTTCTTATCAATTGTTGAAGACAAGATTATAAAATATGGATTTTTAACTTGACCACTTGTGAATGTGGTGAAATACTAGAGAAATAGTAAATGGTGGTAACAAGGACTAAAACATACATTAATAGGTACATGTTAGTGTTATCAACAGAGGTGACAATCACAAGATGCTTGTTGGATTATTGTGATCATGCATGTGATGAGAAATGAGCTGTGCTAGTCTGGCTATGATAATAACTTCATGACAATTATGCAATAAAAATCGAGTCGTGATAGTCAAATGATAATGATCGAGCAATGGTGATCAAGTGATCGTGATTTTAAGTGGTGATCATTTATAACAATTGTGTGATAGGACTTTATAGTTTTTTAGATCTTTCTCGCTCTATTTCATGTTCCCTTCATGTGAGGAACCCGATCTATTTATATCTTTTGGGCCTATACTAGTGGCAATAGCTTCGAATGTTGTCACCGAGCATCGACTTGCCTATAAATATTGCCTATGTTAAAGTGAATACATAATTGATTCATTATATTTCTAAATGATTGATACTAAGACTTCTGGTAAGGGTTTAGGTTAGGTAGAAAGACATCTTATTTATAGTTTAATGACAACGCACTCACCAACAAAGAAATAGAATAAAAATTTGACAAATGGCTTTCTCTTACAATTAGAACTAGATAGAATATAGTTATGAGCAATCATGATTTAGATAATTAATAAATTAAATTAATTCATTAATCAAAATTAAACACCAACATGCTAATTAATTATTTATAATTAATTAATTATAATCTCTTTCACTCAAAACAACTAAATTATTGTAAAAAGTTAAGTTTCTTGGATTAATCACTTATTTGCAAACAAGGATATATAAATCAATAACTAAGAATCTACACAATCTTGAAATCTTAAACTATAACAGGATAAATGTGAAAATAGGAAAAATAGTCATAAGAAACACGAATTTGAGCAATTTATGTGGTTCGGCATGGGATGCCTACATCTAGGGGGAGAAAGAGAGAGCAGTAGCTTTATTTCCTGACTAATATATTATAAGAACACTAACAAACACAATTCTTTTTAGATAAAATGAGTAAACAAAGATATCACCATAACAAATCTTTCCAAGACAAGGAAGAAATAGAAATATCCAAACCAATCGAACCTCCCATGCTCGATTGCATGCAAAACTATAGCTCGGTTTGCTAAGGTTGCACACAAGGATCTCCTTCTCCTTCTCATTCCGTCTAGATTGCAGATAAAGACGCAATGTCATATGGGTTCTGGTAGATCATCTAACGAAGTTTGCATATATTAAAAGAGAAACCACTTTGAAGAAAGAATTTAAAATAAAATAGTTATTTCCTTATATGTTCTATTGATGAAAGATTTTAAATATCGAGATTGATATTTTTTTGAAGAGGGGAGGATTGTAACACCTACTTGATCCATGCATTGTTGCATCTGTTTTGAGCTGGTCTAGTAAGAGCAATATAGTGAAACTTTTGGATTCATGTCTTCTGTATGTGCTAGTATGTGCCAGCAAGTGTTTTGTATACATGAGCATATTTGAATCTACTCTAAAGTGAGTCACTGGGTATGGGTGCATGCATGTAAAATTTGGAATTTTTTCCATGGGAGCGCTGTAGTGCTTCGTAGGCAACACTGTGGCATTAAGCTCTCTAGCAGCTTTTTAGAAAATAAACTAATACTATGATGATGGGGTTGAACACTGCAGCGCTATGCTCTCCAGTGAGGATGACTGCAATATGAAGCTGATTAGACTTGCCAAGATTTATTTGAACAATACTTTAGCCAAAGAATAGTGGTTAATTAAATAGGATTCATCATCCTAATTATAATGAATAATATGTTAAGAACCAAATACTATCTTAGGCACCATGATAAGAAATATCATGGAAAGTTATGGACCTTAAGGCAAATTAATCTCCATATAGTTAAATATTTAAATAGATGTATTTTACGTTAGAACGGTCTTAACACCTTTGGATTCATGCCGAGATTTATTTTACAAATGAAATCTTAAGATTGACCTAGTTTTAGCACAAATTTAATGGTTGTTAAAACCGTCCTTATGTAAAATTTATCAGAAAATCTTGACGCGATTTTTTTTTTCATACTGAAATTAAAAAAAAATGGATTCAAGATATTCTGACATAAATTTGACCTAAATTACTTATATAACTACTAAACTTATTTTTTAAATGAGTGCACCAATGTTTTATATTTACCTTAAAATAAATCTAATTATTTATAAAAAGTACCTTAATTAAATTTTATTCAAATTATTTTGACTGAATTAATCTCATAAATCCTGAAGTCCGTAAATTCGTAAATTCGCTGAATTAAGGGATTTACAAAATCCCATATTTACACCATAAATTTGTAAATCGGGGATTTACCGATGACTTGGATTTGTTGCACGCTCGAAAATCATTGGGTAGGATTTACTATAAATCCGACGTAAACCCGAGCATAAATACGATACCAAACATCTCCTTAGATAAAATGCAACATACTTTACATTCATAAGATTTATTTTCAAAGGAATGAAATATAAATTTTAATCAAGACTATAAAATATTGGGATTTTTACATACATAACACTTAAAACAATTCAAAATACATATTTAACACCCAAACTACTATATTTACTAATATATCATCTAAAACTCTCATTTTTCATATTTTATAACACTCCATTAAGTTCCGCATCGCGTCTTCTGTTCGTTCGCACGAGGATCGCCTTCTCCATCCGAAGCTTTCGCTTTCTCCATTGATTTCGTCCTGTTTGGCAAGGTATGCAACTCGACGCATGTTCCAGCTCTACTCGTCTTCCCCATCCAATTCCTTGACAGGATTTTTGGGTTTTTTTTTTTTTTTGGTTGTTTGATATTGTCATCATTTTCATTGTTATTTTACTTAATTTACACATAAATATTGCAAATATATGAAACTATTCCACAAAATCTACTAGCAGTTCTGCGAAGAAAGACATACTCAAAAAATATGGAAGCATTCCAGAAATCTGAAATGAATCATAAATCTGTTAGAATCCCAAACCCCAAAAAACGACGCATGCTTATTTTTGCATGGGTAGTGGATGATGTAGGCAGACGATCATTCATTTGAATCTTGTCTCCTGCCGCAATTACTTGAACCTGGAACTAAAGTAGCGTGACAGAAGAGAAGGCGACGGGTTCTTACTAGAGAAGGCGAATGAAAGACAGACGAACGGAAGACAATAAATCAAAGGAGGAGTCGATGGGTTTGAGCGGGGAAGAAGATCATTCATGTGTGAACGAACGGGAGACTCCCGTGAGGCGAGATCGAACAAGATTTCTAACGATGGCTTAACGGAGTGTTATAAAAGATGAAAATGAAGGTTTAAGATGATATATTAGTAAATACAATACTTTGAATATTAAATATGTATTTTAAATTATTTTAAATGTTGTATGTAAAAATCCCTAAAATATTAAAATCCACCCGAATCAAATTTGACACAAAGCTTTTTTATATTTAATTTTTCCCCTTTTTGACCCTTTTATTTTTTTTACATGAGTCGCGCGGCCATTGCTGACGTATCCCCGACCTTTTCTTATCGATCTCTCCTGGAATCAGACATCTCCCATACTTCCATTCCACAGGTAACCAGCGAGCGCGTGCGAGTGAGCCAGAAAAGAAAGAGAGAGGAAGGGAAAGGATATGGAGAGGAGTGATGAAAGAACTCTTCCTACCTTCTCTTTTGTCGCCTCTCTCTCTCATTGGGTTTTGCTCTTTATAACTTCTCTTTCGGATTGCGTTTACTCCATTGACGAAAAAGAAGATGGTGAAACGATCCAGGAAGAAGAATGTCGCTTCATTCTTCCACAGGAAGCTCAGATCGTCCCGGCGAACCAAGCTTCACCCTGTAGTGGCCCCTTTACCGCTCTCCGTGGCGCCGGAGACGCCGACTCCGTCTGCGGGTGCCAAGGGAGCCAAGAAAAAGGCGGGTTCCCGCCTCTGGATGCTGTTCGACCGGTCTGGGAAATCGGAGGTAATCGAGCTCGACAAGAGCGCCATTATTCGGCGAGCGTCCATACCTGCTCGTGACCTCAGGATTCTAGGCCCCTTATTCGCCCACTCCTCTCGTATCATTGGTAAGCTCTCCTATTTCTGTTGAATAAATTTTCAGGAACATTGGTGTCTTTGGAATCCTTTAGCGTGATCGTAAATATGAAACACAAAAAACTGGAAGTGATCCCAAACGGCCCTTTAGATTATGTCCTTTTGCTATGCTTTCTCATAATGCCAATATTGATGTTGCTTGGTATGAGAAAGGCTGACTGTCATCATTTTTAATGGAAGTTCGATGAACAGGTAAAACGTTACAAACAATATATGAAACTTGATCATGAGAAGTCCCAAAATCCCCTGTTTGATTACTGCAGGAGGAAGTAGCATTCATCCAGACTATATCATTATTGCTATTCAGTTATTTTATTGAATTTCTGCTGGCTGAATATTTTCTTCTGTGTTGTTTATCATATTTCAGTCAGGGATAAAGCTTTGGTTGTTAATTTAGAGTTTATAAAAGCTATAATTACTGCCGATGAAGTGCTGCTGTTGGATCCCTTGCGTAATGAAGTTCTTCCTTTTGTGGATCAACTTAGACGACAAATTTTTAGTAATCCTCCATCAAAGCTTGATGATTCTGGTAATGTTGATGAAGTGGGCAGAAAAATGTCCTCAAGCGTGGGAAAATGGTTGGAGGATGAGAATGATGAAGATGAACACGTGCTCCCATTTGAGTTACAAGTGCTGGACATTGCATTGGAATTTGTGTGCTCCTATTTAGATTCTACTGTTATTGATCTGGCAAGAAATGCATATCCTGCACTAGATGAACTGACCAGGAATGTAAGCACCAAAAATTTGGAACGTGTTCGAAGCTTAAAAAGTAACCTTACTCGTCTGCTTGCTCGTGTTCAAAAGGTAAACCTTTGCTTTGTTTCACTTCTGTGATATTCGTGGCTTAAAAAGTAACCTTGCTTGTCTGTTATTCTATGTTGCACTAATACGAATACTGCTAGACGGATACGACATGATAAGGATACGGGACACATCAATTCTTAAAAATATAGGATACGGGTATGACGTGGACACGGAATTATAATTTATAAATCATACATTAAAAATTAAGAAAGCTATCAAAGCATAATATTTGAAATTACAAAAAAAAAGAAAAAGAAAGCAACATCATTTGTAGCCTTGCAGCTTATAATATCAAAATAAAGTAAGCATTAAATATCTGGTACAACAACAAAAACATAAACATAAATTGTCTAGCACATGAAGTTTCAATTATTCAATAGAAGGAATGAAATGATTAGCTTCTTTAATGGTTTGTCTTTGAAGTTCTATATCATCTTCAATAAATATCATAACTAATCATTTCATTCCCTCTAATTCAGGCTCATCAAGTGAAAGATTAGCAATTTCTAATATTCCCATGTCATCAAGAGACTCAAATTCATATTGGAAATGAGAGAACCTTGCTCGCAACCCCGGAAGTAAATACGAGTCTTTTTTCGGATTTTTTTTTTGTTTTTCAACGGATATGTCCTTTTGAAATTAAATAGTATTTTAATTGGACATGACTTTGCCATATCCGACACGTATCAGTGCTGTATCGGAGGTGTATCCGTGTATCGGATACAACACACCTTCATAAATAGGTGTATCGGTGCAACATAGCTGTTATTCAATAGGAAGTTACTAAATCAAAAGTCTGAAGGAAATGTACCATTGCTTTATCACGCAATACTACATTTTATTATAAATGCCATATAATGCTCTTACCATTTTTTCACACGTCAAATTTCCGTAATTTCAGCCATGTTTTATTTTATTTTTTTTATTATTTAATTTCTGCCATGCTTACGGAATACTTTCACTGATACTAGGTTAGGGATGAAATTGAGCATCTCTTGGATAATGAAGATATGTACCAGTTTTATTTGACAAGAAACCAAATCCAGAATCAGCAATATGAAGCATTGTTGACCCCTGCAACTTCAAAAAGCATGGTTTATGCTACAAATTATGTAAGACTAAATTCGAATGTTCGAAGAAGTTCAAGCCATGCAAGTTTCCATTTAGATGATAACAATGTGGAGGATTTGGAGATGTTGCTTGAGGCTTATTTCATGCAATTGGAGGGGTCCCGTAATAAAATTCTGTCGGTATGTCTTTCTCCCCAAGATAGAACGTATCATACTCTTGAAGTTTTACATACATTTTGTTCTTTTCTAATATTTGATTGGCAGTCTTAATGACACAATTTAGATGAATAAATTAATTTCTTCTAGAGAGTAATTTGATGTCTACATGATTGATGTATGCGAAAAAAGAAACATCTTGCTCGTGATGTTGGTTTTTAGCAGAAGATGTTTCATTTTTTAGGTTTATATTTAATTATGTTTGTCTTTCGCTAAGTTTGATTGTAGAGCATGAAATAGAGCTTTCATGTGATGCCAAATTTTTGAAGTATAGAGAATGATATAGGTTAAGGCTTTGTTTGGGACTGCTTTCTTATTGCTTCGTAAAGCAGCTTCTTAATATAAAAATTAAAAAATTTGTACTAAAAAGTTGCTTCAAAAAGCAATAAGAAAATCGTCCCAAACGGTGCCTAATTTAGGTTTCATTTGAGACGGCTTTCTTACTACTTCTTAAAGCAGCTTTTTAGTCCAAAATTTTAATTTTTGTAATAAAAGCTTCTTTAAAAAATATTAAGAAAGCCATCCCTAATGAAGCGTGAGTGACAACATAATTTATGGGAGAGAAAAGAAAATCTGGCTCTTGTTTTCGTTTTTAGCATATGAACTGTTTTTTTAATGTTATACTTTATTCTGTTTGTCTTTTGCTACGTGTGATTGTACAGCATTTAATAGCATTTTCGTTTGATGACAAGTTTTTCAATAAATATAATAACAATTTTTATATGAGAATTGTTTCTCTTGCGTCAGACTCCATGTCCTTGAAAATAAAATAGGAAGTAGAATCCTTCACCAGATAGAAACGTGCCTCTTATGTTTGGCAGCTGTAGAAATAAAGAGAGCACATTAACGTTTTGAAATAGTAAAAAGAAGTAGGAGTCCTCCATATGCATGCCTCTCACGTTTGGAAGCTGTGTACGAAGGTGCGATTGCATAATCTGTTTTGAAACAGTAAATAGAAAGCTATGTCTACCATCATCAGACAAACATTCCTTCTATGTTTGGCAGCTCTAGAAATGCAATAGAAAATTTTGTTCTGGCTCCTGACACAATTTGCATCAGGAGGGAGGGCTTCATCGTATATAAAAATGTCTTCAATATTATATAATATGGTGATTATTTATTTTTTGCAGACAATTTAGGGGGAGTGTTTTATGATAAATGTTAAATCCTGTTAAATCTTAAAAAGATGTTTAGCAATATATTTCAAAATTTATGACAGTTAGGGATTAAAATTGTATGATTATCAAAATTATTAATTAAAAATTACTCATTAATTATTATTTACACTATTAATTATATATTTAGTGATATATATTTTAAGTTGTAGTAATTAAGCTAATTATATTATATTTAATTACTAACAACGGGAGCTCGCTGGCTTTGAAGGTAACTTTCTCCCTTTCACGCTCTTCTCCGGTCAAATCCTGTAAATCTCGTTAAATCCGGAAAATAATGGGATTAGGATTTACCCGAATTTACCGGGATTTATGCCCTAAATCCGTAAATCCAGGATTTATGGAGTCGACGGATTTAGATGCACGCGGAAAGGTGTTTGGCTGGATTTACGTTAAATCCTACTTAAAAGTGAAGACAAATCCAATACCAAACACTCCCTAGATGTTCTTTATAAGAGTTAGATCCTTATGAAAAACATAAGATAAACATTATCATATTTCATCTGATTATGAGTACAATGGCTGCTTTTTCATTTTATAGCCATCTGTTTTAACCTGCAGATGCGGGAATACATTGATGACACAGAAGACTATGTGAATTTTCAACTAGACAACCAACGAAATGAACTGATTAAACTTCAGCTGGTTTTGAACATCTTTTCTTTCGCGATGGGAGTCGACTCAATGATTACTGGACTATTTGGTATGAACCTTCCATGTTCTTTGTTCACAGTCAACAATCTATTCACCTCGTTCGCTGTAGGAACAACAGCAGCTTGTTTCCTCATCTTCTTGCTCTTGCTGCAATATGCTAGATGGAAGAAGCTGCTTGGTTCCTAATTGAACTTTACTTATTCATTACAAAAGCCTTCACCAAGATTTTTTTTTTTTTTTTTTCATTCAGGAAGTAGGGTTGTAAAGAACCGAACATTAGTTAGAGAAATACATAATGTTCGAGCTCAATTCATTGATTTGTATTATTGTTCTTGTTCGGTTTGTATTTTAGTTGAGGGTTTGTTAGTGTTTGTTACCTTTATATTTAAGCTCTATTTGATGTTGTTTGAAAGGTTTGTGTTTGACTGATTAACTGGTCATTAAGGTTGACATATTATTAGAGAGAGGAACTCAAATGAACATTGTTGGACAATAATGACTTCAATTATTGTTTAATGCCTAAATTGTCGTAATTAAATTGAAAAAATTATAATTAACACAATAATGAACTCATATAAAAGTGCCTCCAAGTAAGTGTTTGTTTGATGTCTTGTAGAAGAATTCAGCGATCAATAGAAGAAAATGCACAGAAAAACAATCGAAAATAGCAATTTTCAGAAGAAATATGGGCTGATTTAAAATAACAACTCAACAAGAAACAAAAGATACAATCGATTTACAATTAAAGAGGTAGACCGTCTCTTCTAATCAACCTAGACATTGTTAGGAAGCCCTCACAAAAGAAACTATAATAGAAAAAACTCAAATTCCACAAACTTAATACAAAATAACACCCCTATTTAATCCTCGCTATTTACCCCCAAAACAACCCTAAAAGATCTCCCTTTTTCTTAATTAAATTCCCTTCTTATTTTGAATTTAAATTCCCCCATTAATTCCTTCCTTAATCCTCCGCCTTGCATAGGAATAATTGGCTTAGTGGGCCCCACAAGGGGGGTCGATCCCCCAGTTATCCCGTCTCTTATAGCTGGACCGCCTCTTGACTATTGGGCCGGCTGTAGGATCTATCCTATTGGACCGATCATAACATTACTCCCCTTCCAAAAAGGCATTTCCCTCAAGGTGGAAGGTTGGGAACTATCTTCTGATTGTCTCATAAGTCTCCCAAGTGGCATCATACTCTAACAGGTCGTTCCACTTGATTAGCACCTCCTATGTCCCTATTTCCCCATTGCATACACCTGCTACTTCCATAGGTTCCAACATAACTTCCATGTCCTCTTTCAAGGTTGGGGGTCTCAATGATGGTGTATGTTCTCCTATCGCCTTTCTCAGATGCGATACATAAAAGACTGGGTGCAAGGCTGAGGTTGGTGGTAGCTTTAGTCGATATGCAACAGCTCTGATGCGTCCCAAGACCTCATAAGGCCCAAAATATCGTGGGGAAAGTTTTTCATTTCTTCCTTTTTCTAATGTTGTTTTGTCTGTAGGGCCTCAATTTTAAGTAAACCATATCCCTCCATTTCATAATTTTTTTCCCTCTTATGCTCATGCACCTTCCTCTTCATGACATGTTGGGCTCTTAACAAATGCCCTTTGAGCTCATCTACTATCCTATCTCTCTCCTCTAAGTATTGCTCTACATTGGACACCAGTGTAGTGTTGCCCCCAAAATGAATCAAGTGGGGTGAGTCTCTCCCATATAGAATTCAGAAGGGACTAGTCTTCGCTGCTGAGTAGTAAGAGGTGTTATATCAATATTCAGCCCATGCAATTCACCTAACCCAACTCTTCGGGGTGTCTGATATAAAACATCTTAAGTAGGTATCTACACTTTCGTTAACCACTTATGTCTGACCATCCGAGGGTGAAAGGTTGTGCTTCATTTCAACACCATTCCATATAAACAAAATAACTCCTTCCCAAAATGACTAAGGAATACCATGTCTCCATCTGACATAATGGCTTTTGGGAACATATTGCAAACATACCACTTTTTGAATGAAAATAGTAGCCACTGTGAATGCTGTTTAAGGGTGTTTTTAGAGGAATGAAATGTGCGTACTTACTCAAACGGTCCACAACTACAAAGATCATCAAAAACCCTTCCGATCATTGTAACTCGTCAATGAAGCCCATCGTCACTTCCTCCCATACCCTCTCCAATAGTGCTAAGGGTTGTAGTAACTTTGTTGTACTCATGGCTAAGTACGTATACCTTTGGCATACATTCCATTTGGCTACCCAGCTCTCGACATCACGGGACATCCCTATCCACTATAGCTTTGCTAGCTTTGCTGATAGTTGATTGTATGTCTTTTGAACCGCGGAGTGCCCTTCTATCGTACTACCATATAACACTTATAATAGTTTGGGAATATACCCTAAGGTCTAAGGTAACACAAGCTTCTCACGGTAAAGCAACTGCTCTTTCAGAACATAGCCTAGGTGATTATCTGGATCCTTCAATAGCTCCTATATGATCTTCCTAAAATCTTCATCCTACTTATTCTCATATTTTAATGCCTCTCAATCTACCAACAATGGTACTGACAAGACCTGCAATTGAGGTCCCTCAATTTTCCTGGACAAACCGTCTACTACCTTATTTTCTAGCCCTGATTAATATTGAAACTCAAAATTATATCCAAGTAACTTGGATAGCCATCTTTGATGCTCCTCAGTGATCATCTGTCGTTCCAACAAAACTTCAAGCTCCTCTGATATGTCCTGACTATGAAACGTCTCCCAAACAAATAAGGCCGCGACTTTTCAATAACCAAGACAATTGCCATTAGCTCCTGCTCATACATAGACTTGAATTTTGCCCTGGTTGTAAGCACCTGGTTAAAGTATGTAATAGGTCTCTGATCTTGCGTGAGTACCATTCCTAGTCCATAACATGATGCATCGGTCTCTACCATAAATGGTCTCCTAAAATTTGGAAGTGCCAGCACTAGTACACTGTTCATCGTTGTCTTCAACTCTAGAAGGCTTGGGTCACCTCTTTCCCCCATTTAAAATTATGTTTTTTTTTTTAAATTGATTGTTAAAAGTCTTGCTATGGTACTATATATCTTTACAAACTTTTGGTTGTAACCGATGAGCCCGAAGAATCCCCGCAGCTCCCTTAAGCTTTTAGGAAGAGGCCAGTCCACCATGGCCTAAATCTTGGACTGGTCAACTAAAACCCCCTCTCTGGGCACCACATGTCCTAAGTACTCCACCTGTGACTTCCTAAATGTGCATTTCTTCTAGTTGGCAAATAGCTTATGCTCCCATAATGTCTTCATGACAGTTTTCAAGTTCTCCCAATGTTCTGCCTCGGTCCTGCTGTTTATCAAAATGTCATAAAAAAACATTAGGATAAACCTCCGGAGGTATGGTGTGAACACTCGATTCATAAGTGACTAGGAGGTGGCATGTGCATTGGTGAGCCCAAAATACATCACCGGGAACTTGTAGTGCCCTTTATATGTTCTGAAGGCCGTCTTGTATACATCTGTTATCTTCATCCTGATTTGATGGTAACCTAACTTCAAATCAATTTGGGAGAATATCATAGTTCCAAATAACTCATCCAAGAGTTTATCTATTACGTGGATTAGAAACTTATCTAGCACTGTTTCCTTATTTAGAGTCCTATAATCTCCACAGAACTTATAGCTACCATCATTCTTCTTTACCAACAGTACCAGGCTAGAGAAAGGACTTACACTAGATTTAATGATCCCTACTTCCATCATATCCTTGATCAACCTTTCTATCTCACTCTTCTAAATCTGGGGGTGATGGTATGGTCTGACATTGATAGGAGTAGTCCCCTCTTTCAAGTTGATGGCATGCTCGTGCTCCCGAGGTAGGGACAACCCGATCGGTGGCTGAAATACATCTTAATATTATTACAAAACCTACTAGGGCCCTACTAGAATATCCCTTGCCTCCTATTCCTGGACCCCTTCTATGCTTTCCAACTCTACTAAATACACCATGCCTGCATCTTGGATTATCCTAACCATGATTTTTTAAAGAGACCATGGTGTTACATAGGCTAGTATCCCCTTGAAGCACTATCTTTTTCCATTCAATCTGTATCTCCATGGTCAAAGTTTTCCAGTTCACCCTCATATCTCCTAGAGTCTGTAGCCCCATTATCCCCAAAATCACATATGTACTCCTCAAATCCAAGGTATTAGAGTATTCCACCACCTGAATACCCTACAAGGTCATCATAACCCGTTAGCATATACCCCTACTCCTCTAAATCTCATGTTCCCATCATCACTCCACATCCTTGCATCCTCACTAACTTCAACCCCAACTGATCCAACAACCAATTTGAGATGAACTAATGTGTAGCCCCGTTGTGCACCAAAACTACCACATATTGCTCTCCAATTTTCCCCCTCACCTTCATGGTGTGATTTGAAGTAAATCCCACCACTGAGTTAAGGACACCTCCACCACATCTAGATGAAACTGCTCAGTCTCTTCCAATACATACTCCAACTCATCCCCACTTTCCTCTTCTTCGTCACAGACTAGTAAGACCTGGAGGGCTCAATTCTTGCACCTATGCCCAGGTGTGAATCTCTCATCACACCTGAAGCATAGCCCCCTCGCCCGCCTATCCTAAACTTCTACTTCTGTGAGGCATTTGAATTTCCCTTCAGGACGGGCTCCACTGCCTCTCTCCTTAAGGGCTTCCTACTGAAATGATATCGTTTGGGTCCTTTGTGTTAAGGTCATAGAAGTGCTCCTATAGGCCCCTCCCATGGTGTGGCTTCGACTGCTCCTCTCCCTTTGTTGCTTTTCCTCCACCATTTGTGCTAGCCCCATTGTTTCCCTCAGCCCCATAGGCCTCAATACCCCGAGTTTTGCCCGTATGTCCTCCCTAAACCCCTTCATGAAATTCTCATCCAATCCTTTCTCAAAGATTTCCCTCAGTCTCCCCAACCATTGGTCAAACTTCTCTTGATACTCCATAACTATCCCCTCTTGTGTAAGCGCATCAAACTACTCGTGTAGGTCTCCTTCCCGAATTGATCGGAAATTTTCCAACAAGCACTCTTAAAATTCTCCCCAAAAGTAGATCGGATACCTAGCCTCCCTCCATTTGAACCAGGCTATGGCTTTCCCCTCCAAACATAGACATGCCACCATGAGTTTTTCCTCTTTAGTTAGCCCTTTGATAGAAAAGTAATGTTCTACTTGATACACCCAATCTTGAGCATCTTCTCCTTCAAAGACCATCATTTTTAACTTCGTTGATCTTGTATAGAACAACC